TGCTACTGGGCAGTGGGCCAAGCCAAATAGGGAATGTGGAAGAGTGAGTCCATGTCTGCTCACCCACCCCCAGGTTTACACATAGGAATAACTAAGCCAATGTTCCATGACTCAAGAATCATTCCTGTACAGGGAGAGGAAGCAGTTTGCATTCATGGAAAGCAAAGTGAAGGAGGTTTGCTAAGCTCACACTGTCCACAGTAATAGCCCTCTGAAATGTGAGAAACTGGTGAGGTAGATTGGGCAGGTATTCTCCCTACAAAGTTGAACTTTTGCTTTATAGCCAGCACTTATGGCAGAGTAGAGTTACTGGGGTTATGAACTGAAATAGGACATAGGGTGAGCTGAAATCAGTGGCATGTATTGGGGTTTAGGAGTAGTCTCAGTGGCCTCCTCAAATAGACTAGAGCCAAATTCTAATTAGCTGCCCACTCCTGGTGAATTCTTCCTCATTATCCTGACTGAGCCCTAATGAATGCCCCCTAGAGGTAGACTTCCAGAGAGGAGTGCCCTTCCCTGGGCCTTTTTCAATTCAGAGTGTAGTAGTTTGTGGGTACAAAGGGCATTTTGCTGACCACAGCCATCTGCTGCTTCCGCCGCACCTCTACAAGCAGCTGTGTTCCTGGCTGACTGTACTTGAAGGGCACATAACCCATTGCCACATTCTTCTTCAGGCAGGGTGAGGGGCAGCCACTGGTCACAGTACCTGTCCAAGCATAGGCCATGTGTCAATACCACCATGCCAGCCCAATACCCCAACACTTTTGGGGAAGGAACAAGGGCTCCCCAGCTTCCCTGGATCACTTACCAATCATGATGCCTTCTGTGCTCAGGATGGGGTTGTGTGCCCGCATTGGAGCCCCCTCACACATCAACCCCACACGCTTCCGCTGCACCTCACCTTTCAGCTGGGGAATAATAACCTTAGCTCCTGGGAAATCCATAGCAGCTCGGCGACGCTTCCCTGGAACATGATACATCAGACCTAAGTCACAGCCTGTAAAAGCCCTGGCCACAAGAGGTCCTAGATACAAGGACCCCAAATGACATCCATCAAGATCATTTGGGCTCTCCCAGGCTGATTCCTCTCTTGCACTGAAGTCAGCCAGCCAACCACCTCCTACCCACAGAAAACCATGCTGAGGGTCTTCAGTTTGTAATGGGCAGAGCCACAGTAGACCTTCAGGGAATGGAGGCTCAGCAAGGCTGTCACTTGCTCCAACTGTTAGGAGCAGTTATAAGCCAGCTGACCTCATTAAAGGTCACTCCAACCTGCAGAATCCCTTCAGTGCTAGCCCAACTCACCCAATGTCCAACCAAGGCTGCCCTCAACAGGTGTGGTATGTTCATCAATATCATTCCCATACAGGCAGAGGCCTGCTTCCAGGCGCAGGCTGTCCCGGGCAGCCAGCCCTGCCAGCTTCACCTCTGGGTTTTCCAGCAGAGCCGTTGCCAGGTGGACTGCCCCAGAGGCTGGCACTGAGATCTGCATGGGACACCAGAGAGCAGGTGGTCAGTTGCTCCTACAAATTTTGTACCCTGCACTGCCCTCCATTCACTTGACATACCTCTACACCATCTTCTCCTGTGTAGCCACAACGGGTCACTCGACAGCCAGACACACCAAACACCTTCATCACAGCACTGGTCATGAAGGGTAATTTCCTCAGGTCATCTGCCACACCAGCCTGAAGAACTTGGGCTGCAGTAGGGCCTGGACCCAAGAAGCCAATGACCAAGAGTCCTGGTCCCAGCCCCCCCTCAAAGCTAGACTATAGCCCTTACTCAGTGACTAGAGTAAGTCCTGAGCAAGTCCTCTGAGACAAGATGCCTTTGCCCCTGGTCCAACAATAGTTGGGGGGGAAAGAAAGATACCTTAGAATTATGGCACACAAATATCATACCATCTACACCTTCATTTTGAACGGCCTCTGTGTTAAGCAGTAGATGAAGCCAAGAAGACAAAGGTTAGGTTCAATCCAGCCCAGACCGCTCACCTTGCAGGGCTAGCAGAGCATTATCCACAATCTCCAGGCCCACATCACTGCCCCTGTTCTTAAGTTCCCTGACCTTGTCCTAAAAAGAAAGACAGAAACACCACACCAGTGTCTGGGACCACTTACTGAGCACCTACGATAGGCTGGACACTGCAGTGTTGAGCAATGAGATACTAGGCTGGTTCCCATCTTACAAGGTCACACATCTACTAGATGGTAAGGCTGATCTATGCTCAGTTCTGTCACTTCTACCCTCCCCAGAGGATGCTCACTTGGTGGCCAGGGTCACTTTTACCTCCCCATGTTCCCTAGTACCCACAACCAAACCCTGGCATGCTTCAGGGAGGACTTGCTCTTGAGTCTTATAGCTATTCATCATTCAGAGCCATTTTCTGAGCCTCTTGTCTGTGACCTGGACAACAAGGAATACTGCTTTATGAAAAAGGAAAACAAAAGTGCCTGAAACACAGAAGGGCTATACCTGCATGAGGGCCAAGTCCTTGTCCCAGCAGCCAGCATTGGACACCACATACAGGTGTCCTTCAGAAGTATTGGTCACAATCAAGTCATCTAAGATGCCTCCAGCCTCGTTGGTAAACAGCGACAGTGTCCCCTAGCATCAAAGTGGAGCATTTTTGCTTTAGGTCCAGAAAACCAAAGCCAAGGGTAAGCAGACACCACAAACCCATGAACTTTCACGCCCAGAGCTCAGGCTGTACAAGTTGTAAGGGGCAAGGCTAGATTCAAATCCAGAGTCTTTGATTCTCATGCACCAAGTTTTCAACTCCTCCCCACCTTGGGCAATGCCCTACAGTACTGAGAATTCCATCTCACGTTTAATCTATGATATCCAATACCTACTGCTTCATCCCACCCAGACAACTCAGCTCATGGATAAAAACCTTGAAGTCCATCTTCATCCCAGATAAACCACCAAAATACTGCAAGGCTGGCCTTAGCCTTCCCATTAAATGGATGAAGAACCTAAGGTTGTAAGGTCTCATGAATCACCTGGGGATCTTGCCAAAATAAAGGTTCTCATTCAGAAGTCTGGAGCAATGTCTGAGAGTATATTCCTAACAAGATCCCAGGAGGCAGTAAGGCTGCTGGCTTAGGGACCATACTTTGAATAGCAAGGGGATAGGAAGCATGAAAGGCCAGAAATTATACATAAAACCTTGGTTTCTGGCCTCCTAGCCTGATGTGATGATGCTGGGACAGCATCCCACAGCTGGTTAGGCATCTGGAAATGACCTAAGATCCGAGTTCCTCAAGACATTAAGGCCCAAGAATCCGTATCTGATCTATGTCTATGTCCTCAAGCTTAAGGCAGGGACCCAGCCTGATTGCTGGCTCGTGACTAAGAACACCCATTGAGCAGAAATAAAAGGGCTCACCTGATTTGGCCTTAGCTCTGCAATGTCTCCAACCACTAAACTCTCCATCAGCTTCACCCGGTCACAACCAAATATCTTGGTCTGGGAAAGAGATCAAAAGCCTTAGGCCACTGCAATAGCTGCATCTGAAAGGCCACTAGACCCTTGCTACTTGAAAGGCTGAGGCAGGAGGAAGATATGTCCGAGGCCAGCCTGGACAATTTAGCAAGATCCTGTCTCAAAAGAATAAAAAATGCTGGGGATGTAGCTTAGTGGCAGAGCACCCTTTGGTTTGGCTTCCAGTAACACACACACACACACAAAAACACACACAAAGCCACTAGGCAAGGAGGCATCTCTCAATTCACAAGACAGTCCAACCCAAAGTAATTGGTGGGTCTTTCAGTTCTGCACCCCTCACTTCCACTCCCATTTCCCAGCCTAGGGTGTGATTGGACTTAAGGGGGATACAGCATTTTACTGAAATACCCACTTTTCCAAACCAATACCCAACCTGGTGCATTGTACCAGCTCTGGAAAACCCAGGGCATTAAGGTATACAGTTTTAGGTATACAGTTAGCGAAAACAGGCAGGAGAGAACATACACAGATGATCAAGGAAACCCTGAGTTAATCAGCCAGCCCCTTGAGTTCCTTGGCCTTGCCAAGAAACCCTTAGACCTCCAGCTATTTATGGGCTGTCTTTAGAATCCCGCTCCCAGCAAACAAAGCCGAGGAGTGCAACACTGTGGTCGAGGAAGGTCTGTTTCAGCAGCAGACACACTCTCATAGCTCACCTGCAGCATGTGAGAGACATCAAAGAGCGAGCAATGTCGCCGTGTATGAAGGTGCGATTCAATGTGACTTTCCTGGTACTGTATAGGCAGACTCCAACCCGCAAATGCCACCATTTTCCCGCCATGGGCCAGGTGGAAGTCATGGAGCGGAGTTCTGCGGAGCACATCCTGTGGGCAGCCGGGTTTAGTGCCATCAGGGCCCTGGTTCCTGGCTGCATCCCTCCCCCACCCGCCAAAACCGGCAGCAAACCTCCAACACCCTTTATCCCACCTGCGAGCAACTGAGAGGGCGACCTGGGGCCGAGGGAAGCGCCTGCAGGCGAAAGCCCAAAGGGGCCACCATGCTCATAGCCCGCTGCATCGTCGCTGGCAACTAGTGCAGATGGCGTAGAGAGGCCACCACTCTGCCAGGCACGCCGGGAGATGTAGTCCAAGCCCCTGCCCGAACAGGTCTTCCCAAGGCGCAAGGGATCAGAAAAGGGGGCGGGAAGCCCCGAGGGCAGGCTGGGATTCAGAGTGCAACCACTCCCAGCAGCCTCAAGCAAGACCTAATCCAGGCGGGTCAGGCAGTCCAGAGTAGACTAGGCTGCCTAGAACCAAAGCTGGAGGCTAGCCCTCCCCCAGCCCTGCCTCCAAAGGGTCAAAGTTTTGCAAGGGGCTGAAAGGCTTGAATCACACATTCAGTACCTCAGGAGTGTAAGGTCAAATGGAGGAGTGGAGAGGTCACAAGAAGGTGGAGTCAATCTGGCAGGCAGAGCACCACTGCAGCCTGTCCTCATGTAGGGTTCTCCAACTATTGCACAGGAACACACAGGCAGCCAGCACAATCATGCATTCCACAAGTATTTATTGATCTTGTCCTGTGCTGGGTACTGGGAACATAGCTGGGAATATCATATGATCCCTGCAACCCCAGGGTCCTCTTTACTCACATATACACACACTGAGGGGTATTGTTTCCTGAACACAGGACTATGGTCATCATCCTTTCAGAAAAAGTTGAGTGGGCTAAGTAAATGACCCTGAAGATAGACACCACCTGCAAGAAGGCTGATGGGTGAGAACAGAGGGTGGGAACCAAATGGTGACTCAACTAAACTTCCCCCAGAAAACTATTATGCCACATACGTCCAGTTTGCCATGTCTGAGACAACCTGCAATATGCCTTCATAATACTCCCCCAGGGGCAAAGCTAGGAAGAACTGGAAGTAATCAAGACTTTCTCACATGAAGGAAGAAGTGCCTGCATTATTCAACAGTTGGCCCAGGTTGATGAAGTACCTTAGCCTCTTAAAAGGCACCAGTGACTCACTTGGATCCCACCTACCTACCAAGGTTGACCCCTCATGCTGAGCACAAATGCAAAGAACCAACTGAGAAAAGAAACATGGATATGCTTTGAGCTGTGTCAGATGGCACACAGGTTGTAGTTCTCATTTTCAGGCTCCAGTATTGCCAGAGGCACCTGTCCAGGCCCAATGGAACACATCCAGGAGACAGCTCAGGGATCTAGGAACTCAGGATATCCAGATCTCCAGCTTTGCCTGGTAGGCAGGTAGCAGCTGAGTTTAAACAGGAAATTTGTTTTGTAGGAATAACACCAAAGGGAAAGAAGGCCATGAGGGGGAACTGAGGAATGAATGGGGCACCTCTTCATCAAGCTTCCCAATAAATGAGTGCCAAGGGAACAGTAACCTTCTAGGGTTAGATGGAGCAGATTCATCCCAGCCCACTGCAGTCAGGGTAGGGGAACTGGCAGAAGACAGGGGTGTGCTTGTTGGCAGAAGGGGCAGAGGGTGCTCAGGAATTTTCAGTATTTTTAGGGTAGAAGAAGGAATTGTGTTGCAGCCAGATGGAAGACAGAGTGTATCCTTGTTAGGAACTCATGCTGAAGTAATACAGTAAGCCCCAAGAATCTTGAATCTGTAAATGTGGCCCAGACAGAATGGGCATGCAAGCAACACTTGGAATGCACAGGATACACAATTCTGCCTCTGGTAGCCCAAACCAAGCCTGGATGGGCATTGAAAGGCCAATGTCTCAGCTAGGAGCCACTGCTCAAGTGTAGGAGAGCAAGTTCAGGTCATAACAGCCATCCACCTGCAAACACACACACACAAAAAAAACTATCAGGTCTGACCTGCTCAGGGCAAATGCAAGCCAAACAAGGAAACAGTCACTCACATCAAAACGGCCGATCCTCGTGGAGGTGTGACTTGCCCGGATCATTTCTGTCAGTGCCCACATCTGCTGCACCTCAGAAGACACCCTGCTGGGGTCTGGAAGACCCTGCTCAAAAGGAGGGGTCAGTGGCCAGGAGTCTCTCCCCAGAAGTACCCTTAGAGCTCTAAAGAGGCCAAGATAGCCTATGGAGCCCTCTAGTTAAGATGAGTATTCCAGATGACTTGTGAAACACAAGGCTGGGGCCTGATGTTTGGTAGGCAGCCCAGCCCAACACCAGAGATACTGCAAATCCCAAAATGTTCCCAAGAAAATGTCATAAATTGAACTAAGGGTTTTGGGTCCAGCCCCAGATTCTTATAGAAAGGGCCACCAGAGCCATTCACATGTGGTTCAGACCCAGGGTGAAAGCTTACCTCAGGGAGGGGGATAGGTTGTTCACAGGGTACTGGGTGAGACAGCCACTTGGGGAAGGTCATGGAGGGGCTCTACAAAACAAAGGTATACTGTTCTGAGTAAGGCATAGTGGGATAATTCTGGAACCTGAGAGCAGAGATAAGGGGCCCTGAGCCTCAGACACTGGAAAAATCCTGTTCAAGAGGCCCACAAAGCTCAAGGGAACAGTCAGACTACTAAGTTCTCCTGCTATGCAGAAGGAAGCCCCAGAAACATAAGCAGTAAAAAAGTCTCTTTTGGCTGGATATGGCACATGCCTGTGATCCCAGCAACTCTGGAAGTTGAGACAGAAGGATCACAAATTTGAGGCCAGCCTCAGCAACTTAGCGAGACCCTGTTTCAAAATAAAAAGACTGGGCTGGGGATGTGGCTCAAGCGGTAGCACGCTCGCCTGGCATGTGTGCGGCCCGGTTCAATCCTTGGCACCACATACAAATAAAGATGTTGTGTCCACCGAAAACTAAAAAATAAATATTAAAAAAATTCTCTCTCTCTCTTTAAAAAATAAATAAATAAATAAAAAGACTGGGAATGTAGCTCAGTGACAAAGTGCTCTTGGCTTCAATCCCTAGTACCACCAAAAAAAGAAAAAAGAAAAAGAAAAAGGGCTGGGGATGTAGCTCAGTGGTAAAGTGCCCCAAGGGCTCAATCTCCAATTGTAGGGAGGGGATGGAGAAAGTGTGTCCTGAGGATTCCAACTCTGAAAATGGTGGGTAGTTCAGTGGAAAAGTGTCTGCCTTGCATTCGCAAAGCCCTGGGTTCAACTCCCAGTTCCAAAAAAGACAAAAAAAAAAAAGAACCCCATCAAATGGCCAAGGAATATGGACACAGAGCCCCCACCTTTCCTCACAAACTTCTAGCATTCACATGCAACTAACTTCCATGAAAGACTCCGGAGTCTCACTATCCTCACTCTTTACCCACCCGATCCCACTGCCCCAACTCTTCCAGCCCTACCTGGAAGCCTCTTGGGAAAATGGCTAACCAACAGCTTTGAGCTAGTCACTTACCTTTGGTCCCTGCTGGTAGATCTGCAGCTCCTCCACTGTGAAAGACAGCCACAGTGGTGATGGCTGCCGTAGAATCAGACGCAGCTCCAGTACTCTGGTCATGTCACACAGCATCTGACATATACACAAACAAGAACCCAGAGAAGACCCAATTCACTTCCCAGGAACCTCCCAAACAGCAGTGAGAAGTGCAAAGGAAAAAACGGTAGTTGTTCCAAGGAACATACCTGGAAGCCACAGCCCAAACAAGTCCCCCCCACCCCCCCCCCCCCCCCCACCCCCATCTTCCCTCCTGGTGTACTGATCTAACCCCCACATCTCTAAGTCCTCATATTGGCTTCCCTGGCCATGCTGAGGTCAAGCTGACCTGGTGCTTGAACAGCGATATATACTCCTGGGCTCCCTCCTCACTGTGTGGATCAGGCATCAGACAGTAGTCCCGCAGGCAAGTCACCCAGTTCGCTGGTGAGTGTGTTGAAGTATGCTGACGGACACGAATGCTTAAAAAGGCTGTGTAGTAATTCTTAAATGTGATCTCCTGCAACTAGAGCACACACAACTCACCATGACAAATCAGGCCCAGAATCTGAAAGGATCAAAGACACTATCTTCTTTCTTTTGAAATGCACTCTTTTGCTAAATGTGTGTGTATGTGTGTGGGTGTGTAGGTATGTATGTGTGTGTAGTGCTGGGGATTGAACCCAGGGCCTTGAGCTTGCTAGGCAAGTGCTCTACCACTGAGGGGCATCCTCAGCCCTGCTAAACAATTTTGTTGTTGGTTTTGCTTTAGTTTTTGTTTCTTTCAGTGCTGAAATTGAACCCAGGGACTCATGTATACTAGGTAAGCACTTTACCACAGAGCCACATCTCCAACTCATCTGCTAAACAATCCAACAAGCACCGCTGGGATCCAGACACAATTTTGCTTTTCTAGAAGAACCCACAGTCTAAATGAGTAAGTGCATGCAAACAAACCATGAGTGCAGATCTTGCCATATGTTTAACATGTGTCTGGATACACATCAGAGTCATCCAAAGAAATTTTTTAAAATACAGGTGTCCAGGGTCCACCTCAAACCTACTAACTCAGAATTTCCACTGTCAGGTCCTCTCAATAGTTTACCAGGTGACAATAAGGAAAAACTTGGGAGATAACCACACACTGTAACCCAAAGTGCATGGGGCCCAGAGAGCTGGTGAGGACAAGACAAAGAATGGCTTTCAATGCCAGTCCTTTAGAAATAGGATTTATCCTCTGTGCTGAGCTCGCTCAGTGTTCAGTCACTCTGCCAGCTGATATAGAAATGCAATTGGAGAGTAAAACCTGGAATCATTGGGAGGCTCTAATGAGAAATGAGTTACACCTGACCTCTGACAGGGACTGCAAGAATGGGGAGGCAGGTAGGTTTCACGGTAAATCATTGTTAACTATCCCCAGCTGTGACCAAGGACTGACCTGATCTTTTACCTCTAAGTGTGTGTGTGTGTGTGTGTGTGTGTGTAGTATTTCCAGTATCATATACCCTACTCTCTGGCACCCTGCTGCCAGTGCTCTTCTGGATGCGGGGAAGAGATGTGGAAGAGAACAGGGCAGAAAGTTCTAATAAACACTATATATTCTATTGAAGAAATAAATAAATAAGTGATTTATTAATTCGTAAGGTCAAAGGGCAGTACAAGAATACAGAGGCTTTCAGTAACCGATTTCTTCTGGGAAACGCCCAAGTTTCCAAGTTGCCCCGCCCAGGCGCCCGGGTCTTGCGCAAGGGGCGTGCTCACCTCGAAAGGCGCAACGCTGGGGAAGGTGACATCGATAACCAGCACGCCAGGCCGGCCTTGGGAAGTCCGTACGTCGCCCACCTGCAGGGCTACAGTGCTTTTCACATGACAGGGCACCGACACGCGGGACATGATGCCAGCAGCCGCGACCAGGTTCAGTCGTCGCTCGGAGCCTCCAACCTTCCTGGCTTCCGAGCAAAGAACCAAGAACTACAACTCCCGGGAAGCCTCGCACTTGGCCAGGCTAGCCAATCACCGGCGTTCAAGGCAGGCCAGGAGTCGGAAGTGCCGGCGGAAGTTTTCCTTTAGCCAATCACGATGGGAACCTTAAAGTCCACTATCCGCTGCGATCTGCAACGGTCGACTTTTTCAGAATCCAAACCTTTATGTCCACTTGTAGCACTTCCAGTCTCTCTGAATCTCTGCTATTTGATTCGGTAGGGCGGTAGCCACTTAACTGTGTATATAGCCATGAACATGAGTGAGCGTAGCGACTGGCCAACTTTAATCGCAAAGATAGATATTAGACTTTTTTTTTTTTTTTAAGGGATTGAGGATGCCTGGTGCAGTCGCGCACGCCTGTAATTCCCAGAGAGTAAGGCGGGAGGATCGCAAAGTTCAGACCAAGGAATGGCGTAAAGAAGTTGTACTTTCCAGCCCAGGCCTGGAAACCCTCAGTGATAGGAAATAATCTGTTTCCTCCTAGGCCATTGTCAGGGGAAACAATTTGTAACCTTTAGTCTCCTGGCCATTTTCATCTCTATTTTGACTTAAGCTAATGATTCCCTTACTAGATCCTTCCAGGTTCCTGAGATATTTCCTTTTCAGGAAAGTTTCCCATGCTGGAACAGAGACTTCCCCAAATCCAAGAAGACTACAGGCCTTCTAAGGCATCCAGAGAGTACAGACAGGCTCTGGCCTTCAGGCTCCTGCTGTGAGAGCACAGCCACAAACACAGACTTGTGTAGCCTCTCATTGCAGATAAATTTAACCTCATAGCTCTCTGGTAGGGAGCCCCTCCATTGCCTATACTCTGGTAGGTTGACCTTTTCAATATGAATCCTCACTGAGTCCCTCGATTTTATTTATTTTTATTATTTTTAGAATTTTATTTTTTAATTATTGGCGGACACAACATCTTTGTTTGTATGTGGTGCTGAGGAGAACCCGGTCCGAACGCATGCCAGGCGACCGTGCTACCGCTTGAGCCACATCCCCAGCCCGAGTCCCTCGATTTTAGACCCAAGTACAACTCTTTTAATAAGTCCATGGATCTGGAACATGAATAGCCCCTACCAACAAGTTGGTCAGTACCTTTCACCTTTTCCAACTGGGCACCTTAACTCAAGTTACTCCCACATACTGCCTTCTTCCTTCCTAGCCTCCTCACATTCTACTCTACCCAGGACACTCTACATCTTGCTCTTAACCCACATTTCCACACTTTTATTCTAGTCTTTGTTTTTGTTTTGTTTTGTTGCTGGTATTAGGGGTTAACTCAGCAGTGCTCTAACACTGAACTAGATGCTCAGTTCTTTTTAGTTTATTTATTTGTTTGGGGGGTGAAAGGCGAGTGACTCACCCCAGTCGGATATTCAACCAAGAGATTTCATTGGGGGAGCCGCCGGAAGGGAAAGAAAAGGAGAGGAAGAGAGCAGAGCTTCAGCTTAAGAAGGGTTGCTTGGTGACTTTGCCGGTGCTGATTGGCATGGTAACTCAAGTAGGGCGAGTGGACACTGTGTTCTTTGGGGATTGGTCAAGAAGACTTTTGACTTTGGTGGCCTTTGGAGAGAGGAGTAGGGGTAAGGTATTAAGGTGATGTTCTTCTTGCCAGATGGAAACTTAACTTCAGCAGGGAGAAAACCCATGGGAGAAATAAAACCAAAAGGCAGGGTCTCCCACACACCCAACAGGAGTACCGGGAGTTAAACTCTGGTGTGCTCAACCACTGAGCCACATCCCCAGCCCTATTTTGTATTTTATTTAGAGACACTGAGTTGCTTAGCACCTCTCTGTTGGTGAGGCTGGGCTTTGAACTTTGATTCTCCTGCCTAGCCTCTCAATCTGTTTAGATTACAGGTGTGTGCCACCACACCCAACATCTTTTTAGTTTTTGAGACATGGTCTAGCTAAATTGCCCAGGCTGTCTTCCAATTTGCAATCCTCCTGCCTTAGCCTCCCAAATAGCTGCCACAATGCTGGGCTCCTAGTCTAGTTTTAAATTTGAATTTTTCAGAATCCTTTCTTAATTCTTGGACTAATTGGGTCATTACACATTGTCATAGTGGTCTTCAGGTTTTATTTTGATCCTCACCTAAAGCCTGTCTCTCACACTGGCTCATGTAGAGCAGAAGGAAGGAATTAAATTTCTCTGTTTAATGACTATGTCCAACATCTTTTAGCAACACGATGGGCACAGTAAGTATATTCCAAATGAACAAATTATTGTTTGATTTTAGGAATTTCCACTTAAAGCCAAAATAGAGTCACCAAGAAAGGACTTACCCTTTCACTTGACTCCACTAAAGGACAAGACAAAATATATGAAAAAAATGGCTTTTAGATATTACAAATCAGTCACACAAGATTTTTTTAAATATTTATGTTTTAGTTGTAGTTGGACACAATGCCTTTATTTTATTTACTTATTTTTATGTGGTGCTGAGGATTGAATCCAGGGCCTTGCACATGCTAGGCGAGTACTCTACTGCTGAGCCACAACTCCAGCCCTCACACAAGATTTTAAAGACAAGACATGAAATGAACTTAAAGATTATCCCAGCTTAATGTCTAAAGAGTGTTTCCAAGCACAAAGAGGAGGAATCCAGGTGGGATCTGGTAGACTCCCATGTTGAAAAAGCAAAACTGGATAATTTAAGAAGGTAAAAATGTCTAGAGGCTAAAAAGGACAAAACCCAAAGAGAGATTACTCTGAAGATCTCCAAGGGGTTCCCCTTGAGCCTTCAGCTGAGTAATAATCAGTTCATGCATGTGAGGAAAGTACTCAAAGCCTAGGAAAGAATTACCTCAAAATAAAAAGAGATAATAATCATCAAATCTTAACTCAGAAGCTGGGCACAATGGCATGCACCTGTAATCTCTACTTGAGAGGCTGAGGCAGGAGGATCACAAGCTGGAGAGCAGCCTGAGGAATTTAGCCAGACCTTAAGCAACTGAGTGAGATCTCTAAACATAAAAAAGGGCTGGGTATGTATTTCAGTGGTAAAATACCCCCAAGATTCAATCTCGAGTACCAAAAACAAAATTAAAAAAAAAAAAAAGTTGTAATTTTGTCCTTTTTTCTTTCCCTTGAGATAGGGAATGATAAGCTAATGACAGACATTCCCTTTGCATGCAAAGTTCAAATGTCTTAAGCCTTAAGCTTTAAGTCCAGAAGATGCACACTCACTCAGACCAAGGTGACCAGATCTGGAACCAAGGCAGGCTTTTCCTGGCTTGGAGTAGATGACTGTTGAGGAGAGGATCTTAGGGAGGAGTTGTGGCTCAGACGAGGCAGTTTAAGATCAGTGAGGATCAAGCAGAGGGAATGTCAGGTCCTCATTAGGCTCTCTAGCTCCAGTGCATCCTTGTTTCGGCTGGCTGAATCCCTGTTCATTTGCTCTATTATTTATACTAAATTTGGGGGGTTTGACCCCCCTTTCAACCTTATCAGCTACCACCAGATTTCTCAGTGACATCATATACCTTGGGATCAGAATCATCTAGTCTGGTGATCTCCACCCTGATCTTCTGGCCTTTCCCTCTTATCAGGAGAGGACAGCCTGCCAGGGGCTTCACTCTGTTTATCAGGGTGAGGGGAAGTAACTTGTTTGAGGCCATACTGGAAGGCTCTGAGGGTGTGCCTAGTGAAACTGCAGGTTTCAAACTGGAGTTTTTAAAATGGAGTTGCTTAGGCTCAGGCCTAAGGCCATCCTCACACTGTCTCAGAATAAAAAGTGTTGGGGAGATAGCTTTTGGGTTCAATCCCAAATACAGAAAGAAAAAAAAAATTAGAGTGCATGGTACACACCTGTAAGCCCAATGACTCAAGAGGTAGGAGGATCATAGGTTCCAGGCCAGCCTCAGCATTTTAACAAAGCTCAAAGCAATTTAGTGAGACCCTATGTATCTCAAAATAAAAAATAAAAGAGACTAAGGATGTAGATCAGTGGTAAAGCACCATAGGTTCAATTCCCAGTACAAAAAAAAAAGAATAAAGTTGAGACGGGCTTGATGACACATGCTTATAATCTCAGTGACACAGGAGGCTGAGATAAGGGGATGGAATGTTTGAGGCCAGCTTCAGCAACATCGGCAGACCCTGTCTCAATTTTTTAAGAAAAGGGCTGGGTGTATACCTCAGTGGTATAGTGCCTCAGGGTTCCAGTATCATCAAATAAACAAATAAATACATAAGGAATGAAGTTGTATACTTATCTCATACCATGTACAAAAATTAACATCAAAGACATAAGTGCAATATCTAAAACTATAAAACTCTTATAAGAAAATTAGATGTAGGGGCTGGGGATGTGGCTCAAGTGGTAGCACTCTCGCCTGGCATGCGTGCGGCCCGGGATCGATCCTCAGCACCATATACAAAGATGTTGTGTCTGCCAAAAACTAAAAAAAAAAATTAAAATGTTCTCTCTCTCTCTTTAAAAAAAAAAAAAAGAAAGAAAGAAAAGAAAAGAGAGGCTGAGGCAGGAGGATCTCAAGTCTAGGTCACTCTCAGAAATTTAGCAAGGCCCTAAGCAACTTAACCAGATCCTATCTCAAAATAAAAGATAAGAAGCCTAGTGTGGTGGCACAGGCTATAATCCCAGCATTTCGGGAGGCTGAGGCAGGAAGATCACAAATTCAAAACCAGCCTCAGGGCAAGCCTGCAATCCCAGTGGCTGGGGAGACTGAGACAAGAGAATTGGAAGTTCAAAGCCAGCCTCAGCAATGGCGAGACGCTAAGCAACTCAGTGAGACCCTGTCTCTATATAAAACACCAAATAGGACTGGGGATGTGGCTCAGTGGTAGAGTGCCCCCCCTCAGTTCAATCCCTGGTACCCATCCCCCCAAAAAAAATTAAAAAAAAAAACAGCCTCAGCAATTTATCAATTTATCAAGGCCTTAAGCAATTTAAGGTGTCTGTGTCTCAGGATAAAAAGGGCTGAGGATGTGGTTCAGTGGGTAAG